AAAATTCCTTCTAATTGTTGGTTTATGTATATTCTACTTGTTTCCTTATCAGGATAATATTTTTCTAACCATTCTTGGGCATTAATCACATTCTTCACTGCTTCTCTATTTTTGCCTTTATCTTCTTTTTTTCTTTCCTTTCATCACCTACTAATATCAGCACAAAAAGAGCATCAAGTGAACCGAGGAAGTAAGTTTTCTGGGTTAGTTGGGGGATTTACCATATATACTTATTTTACCCCCAATTATCAATTCTGCCAACTCTAAAAGTTGCTTGTCGTTAGAAAATGAACAATCAGCCAAGGATAGTCAAAAAAATACCACAGAACAATTTTCCAGTAGAGAGGGTGATTTCACCCTCCTAACAAGTTTAATTCAACTCCCCTATGACTTTTTGCCAAAAAACGAGAATGGCTTCTTATTAGATTTGACTTCAATTTGGGATTGTTGCTGGTTTTGTTTCGCTAATTGAGCCTTTAATTCTTCATTTTCCCTTAATAGTTCTTGGGAGGTTTGTTTTTTTAGTCTTTCATTCTCTCTTTTTAATCTGCTTATCTCATCCAATAGTTCTTGTTTCTGTTTTTTATTCCATACTTCTGATATCTCCAAGGCTTCTAAATGGGTTTCTATTTCCACCTCGGCTGTGTTTAACTCTTCTCGCAATCCATTTATTTGTCGTTCGTAAAAAGTGGCTTGTCTTCTTTCGTGAGGTAGGACGGGAAGTTCTTTTTTCTCAACGTCTTCATTATATTTGATGCAATAACAGATATATTTACCACTACGAATGTCTATATACGACCTAATTTGTAATCTTCCACATCTTTCGCATTTTGGAAGTTCATTATTCTCAAACTTTTCTTTACAAATCTCGCATGCTTCGTCATTTGCGACTATTTTCTCATTCAGCCTACTCCGAGTTCTAATCTGACAAACGGCTTTGCTATTCCCGCCCAAAAGATTAGAACAAAAACTACAATTCGCCTCCTCATTCCATGCCTCTAATTCCAAAATGGTGTAAAGGAGTTCCCGCATGATTATTTAACTTTTACTTCTACTCGAGCAATGAATTCTTGGGCTTGAAGTTTGGTTTTCTTCACTAATTGCTGGAATTGTTTAAAATTGCTTTTTGTTTTCTCTTTTAGTAATTTGAATTTGCTTGGCCGCTTAGGAAGTGGCTCAGTGTTTAGGTATAACAATCTTTCTAACTCTTGGCTTTTAGTCTCTTCAACTACAAGTTTCTGGTGAATTTTTTCCACTAATTCTAGGTTTTCTCCCAATGCTTTTTGTAGTTCTTTATTCTTATTTTCTTCTTCCGTTAATTTTTGGTGATTTAGTCTCAAAGCTTCTGAACTATCTCATAATTCGTTCTCTAATCGTTTTTTCTCTTTTTGATTATCTTCTATCTCTCAATTCCTAACCAAATTAAGAGAGATTAATTTATGAGCCAATTGTTTAAATTTTCATTGCTCGGCTTTATTCAAAGCCTCTAAATGACATTCTGCCTCTGTTTTTGCTAACTCTATTTGTTCTTCCAGTTCCCTAATAAGAACTTCTTTCTCTTTTAACTCTTCCTCCAAGTCATCAATCTTTATTCTTTTTTCTACCAATTCTTTGTAATAATCAGTGCTAGTTTTGAAATAGGTTTCTTTTTCTTGTTTTAAAGTGTTGATTTCTTCTATTTTTTCCCAGTGTAATTTTCAGTATCTTTTATCTAAATACTTGGTAGCCCTTATTAGTGATTTAACATATTCCAAAGTGTCAAACTTATCCACTATTTCTTTTCTCCAACCATAATGAAAATTCCCATCTTCATCAACCAGATAATATTCGGCTAGGTCATGACTAGTATAATAACCCCCTTCTTTTTCTCCTGTTCATTCCCTAACTTTGGAGATGAGTTCTTGAAAATCACTTTTTTTACTTTCTAATTCTTCAATTTTAGTTAATAGTTCCTTATTTCTTTCTGTTAATTTATTAATTGTATTTACCATATTGTTATTATTCAATGCTATATATGACTTGTCTATGTCATATATTATAATTTTTCATTCAGAGTATTCAAGGGGGTTCAAATTATATTCATCAGATTTAAAAAAATTCGTGTATTTTGTCACAAAATCCGTTAACCACCTCAACAATTTTATGTTGAACAGAATTATCCTTACATATTTCTTTCGGTTGTTTACCAGACCCTTTCTCATTAATCACATTAGAAACGACTTTGTTTTTCAACAATTTGGGTTGCCTTGGCTTTTTTATACCAAGATGTTTTCGCAAACCCTTCAATGAATTTTTGAGTATTGAATAACAGAGGGTGCAATTCTTTATTTGATTTATACTCTCCTTTTCTAACCGAGTTAGTGTTAGGTAGTGAGAAAAGAGAACTGGCTCAATGGGTTCATTATTATTGATGGTATATTCTAAAATGCTATCAAAGCAAGCAAGTAAATTTCCTATTTCATGGCAATTGTGATTATTCATGATCTTTTTAATGTTAGATATTATTATTTTACTTACTTTAATGTAAGAACCCCTTTCAATTAAGATAAAAGTTTTAAGATAGATTAATACTCAAGTTTTCCACGATTTCTTGGATAAAGTCGAGTCTTTAGGCGAAGAAGATTACTTGATAATGGATAA